AAAAAAAAAAAAAAGAAGTCCAATTATTTAAAAAAAATAATAATAATAAAGTATTTGGTATAGGGTCTCCCCATGAAGCTTAGACTCATAGTGATCCTCCTGTTTTTATTTATTTATTTGATACAGGGTTTTGCTACACAGCTTAGACTCATAGTGATCCTCCTGTCTCAGCCTCCCCAGAGCTGGAATTACAGGCATACATCATTACACCCAGTCTCAGTGGTCAGCATGGCATGTGGTACCAGGGATCAAACCTGGACACTTGTGCTTGCCAGGCAGGCCCCTAGACCGCTGAGCTATCTCTCCGACCCATAAGACAGAATCTGGGACCAGAGAAGTGGAATCATTCCTGTGATTATACCTGGCCATGTGGTTTCGGAGCCTTTGGGAATGGCTAATAGGAAGAGTCTGGAAAGGTTTGGAGATACCACCAAAAAAGGAGCACTGGAATGCCTTAGGGTATACTGCATGGGAAATTCTGGCTAGCACTCAGGAAACCAGAAAGCCAGCAAAGACCAGACTCACATTTGTGTCAGGCAAGCCTACACTGGCTGCTGGTCTCCACAACAACTGTGTTATGGCTTGGCAGAGTTTTTCAGCATTTTGTTCCTGTCCAGAGATTTTACCTGAGACTGAGATTAAAGGGCATAGGCTAATCTGGCAGAAGAATTTTAAGGCAATCAAACATTGAGGCAGTGGTACAGCTACTGTTGGGAGCTTTTAGCAAGGCCTACACTGAGAACCAAGCACAAAGAGCCCAGCAGAATGATTTAAAACATATGGAAATTGGCCAGAAAGGAAACAAAGACAAAGAAAACAGTGGAGATCTTGATTGCTGACAAGGAACAGGTCAACAGAAAAATGGTTAAAGGGCATCAAAAGCAGTAGCAAAACTTTACCCTTTGTAGCCTACAAACTGTAATACTGACAGACTTTGCTTTGAGAAGAAAGCTGCAAAGCACCATGTTCCAGAACGGTGGTGGCCTACAAAATTGGTTCCTCAGAATTGGATTCAACAGTATTCAATGATCCAGGTCCTCGACCTCTACAGTCAACAGGAAGGGACGCTTGGCTACTGTTCCAGCTGGCAGAAGTCCTGGGCATCATCCACATGACACTGGCTTCCAGAATGCCAGAGTTGAGAGGTTGGGAAGGTTTCTACCCAGGCAGTACAGCCCCTGAGAGAACAGTGTGTGAAGGTGTGAGTGTGAAGCCAAAGGTACAATGGAGACACCACAAGTTTGGAGAAGCCAGGAATGTGATCATCTGAGGAAAACTGCAAAGAAGGAGCAGGGCTGCCCTCACCTCAAAAACAGCCATGGGAGATACAACCCACAGCAGTGCCATAGAGGCAGGCCACTCAAGCCCTTTGGAGTCCAAATCTTACCACAGACTGCCTCAAATGCTACACATAGAACTGAACACAAGACTTAATGTTTGTCCTGCTGGATTCTGGATTTGCTTTAATCCTTTGTATCCCCTGTTGTAACTTTTTGAAATTTCTATCTTGTGCCATTAGGAAAAAGAAAGACTGATGCACTTGCCACATTCCTAGATAAAGGTCTAAACAGATGAGGACAAGAACTATTGTCTAAGAATATATTTTTACAAGTAAGATGCATTTTATTCTAAGAGCTAATCCAATTGAAGGTGATGTATATAAACTACCATACAAATGTGTACATACACTGAGAGAAAGCCAAATGGGTCAAAGGAAGCAAATTCTGAGAACTTGGTAATTGTTTTTTGGGTTTTTTAATGCAGAGTCTTGATAAGTAATTCAGGCTGGCCCTGAATTTGCAGCCAACCTCCTGCCTCAGCCTCCTGAGTGCTAGAATTACAGGCGTGCACCACCATAACCAGCTAGAATTCTGTAATGTTTCTATGACCCTCAAAAGTGCTGTGTGAGTGAATAGATGTCTCTCTACCCCTACAGATTCTAACTCATTCATGGCAAGGTATTCAACTGGTGATGACCACACACTGGAACTAAAGGAGCTCAGGAATTCACCTACAAAGCCTATGTCCTTGGTAATTTGTGAAGCAGAAAACACGGGTCCTTCTATTACTGTAAACAAGATAATATCAAACTATTTCTGGCAAAGAAAACAAACCCCACTACTCCTGAACTGTTGTACTCATTAAATATTTTATGCTCCAGCTTTCTACCTTAAATGTTTAATTTCACACACATCCTTTTGGAACGTAATTTTACTAAGATATAAAAGCTAACCAAGAAATTCATGAGTGAACTTTAAAAAATAAACCAATGACAGCCTGGTATGGTGACACATGCCTATAATCCCAGCACTCTGGAGCATGAGGCAGGAGGATCACTGGGAGTTTCAGGCCAGCCTAAGCAACAAAGTGAGTTTGAGGTCACCTTAAAACTATACAGTGAAAGGGGCCAGGGAGATGGCTCAGTGGAATAAGCACTTCTCTGGCAAGTGCAAGGGCTTGAGTTCAAACCCTGGCTCCGAGAAAAAAAAAAAAAAAAGTGGGTTGGATAAAACTATACAGTGAGACCCTGTGTAAAAAAAAAAAAAAAAAAAAGCTGGGTATGGCGGCATGTGCCTGTAATCCCAGCACTGGGCTGAGGCAGGAGGATTATTATTAGCTTAAGATCAGGTTGGGCCAGCTTGAGCTGCACGGCAGAGACCCTAACAAAGACAAAAAGAGAGAGAGAGAGAGAGAGAGAGAGAGAGAGAGAGAGAGAGAGAGAGAGAAGCCATGACAGACTAAAGATCTTTAAAGATGTTTTCACATTATAATAAGCAGCTACTTACTAAAAAAAAAAGACATTAAAAGGTAATACATGAGTTAGCATTTCATCAGAATCTAGGAGACAGCTTAGTGAAATTCACTCTAAAAGTATAGAGAACCTGAAAATCTGAGTGGCCATCAAGTGTTAACAGCTAGTAATATTGGACTGATTATTATTTAGCTACAAAAAACAGACTAATTCAAAATGAACAACTGTATGACTTGGTATACTAAGACCATTATCAACCTTTCTCTTAATATTTGTAAACTTTAAAATCATTACTATCACCAGTTAAAGATGTCCCAATTCTCACCAGGGATCCAAATAAAAATGCCAAGAGATACTGTTTTCACAGGGACACATGTTCAGAAGAAACCAATATTCCCCCTTGAGGATTTAAAGGCGACAGCCTTGGACAACATTTATCTACCCTAGGAGTCCTGATTTCCTTCAAGATTACTTACATGAGTAGCAGCATTTCTTAAAGAAGCAATAGTATTTTCTTGAACTTTAGCCAGCCTGAAATAGAGAAGAATTATAGGCTATACAAAAGAAACAACTGTAATAAAGAAATCAACATAGTTTTAACAATGACAATAGTATGTATTCTTTATTTTATTTTTGTGCAAGGTCTCACTACAGCTCAGACTTATAATGATCTTCCTGTTTTCTGCCTCCCTACTGTTGGTATTACATGTGTGTGCCACTAAGCCTGGACCCTATCACTGGCTCAGCGTGCTCGAGGGTGGGGCTGGCATGGCATGTGGTACTAGGGATTGAAGCCTGGCCCCTACGCTTACCTAAGCAAGCGCTTAGTCCACATATTCTTTGAGGCTTTTTTTTTTTTTTTTTTGGCAGAACTCAGGCCCTTGCTGATCTATCTACTCGGCCTTGAGACTTTTTTCTGTCTCCAAAATATCACTGTGACCACATTTGGCTGCTATATGCATTTATTCCACCAATGTGAGCTTTAACAATATAAGTATTGATATATAAATATAAACATATCCTATACACACAACACATCATGTGAAGTGACCAACCAAGAAAAATAATCCTTTTCAATGTTATGAAGAAATGGAGACAAACTTGCTCCTTGTAATTTGTCCTCCAGATAACTTAACTCTGGCAGACTGCAGAGGAATTGGAAAGACTAACACACAAAAAAGGCATAAGGATAAAAATTGTGTTAAAAACAAGAACACCAGAAAGAAAACTTACTGCTTGATTGAGAAGGGCCTGAGGACGCCCTTCTCAAGGGCGTAATTTGTTGCACACTTACATGATCGTAGTCATCTCCACAGGTCCCAAAGCTATCATAGCTAACTAGCTTGCTTCCCCTTTCCTCCCTTCCTTCCTTCCACCCTCCCTCCCATCCTCTCTCCCTCCCTTCCTTCCTGAGACAGGGTTACAGGGTTTCACTATGCAGTTCAGGCTAGCCTTAAACTTACTTTGTAGCCCAGGCTGGCCTTATACTTAACAGCAATCCTCCTGCCTTAGCCTCCCATACTCAGGATTACAGATGTGTGTCACCAGGCCAGGCATACCATCCTTTTTAAATCAAAGGGGTAGAATTAAAATTTACAATAGAAGGCCGATGGCAAGGCAGGTGTAATGGTGCATGCCTGCAATCCCAGAACTCGAAAGGCCGAGGCAGGAGGATTGCTTCAGTTCAAGGCCAGCCTGAACTGCATAGCAAGACCCTGTGTCAAGAAGAGAAAAAACGAACAAATGAAAGAAAGAAAAAAAAAAAAGGAAGAAAGAAGCCTGTGAGAATAAACTGTGTTTCTGACACATGAATGTAATTCAAAACTTAGATGGAAAAGGCAGTTAGTGTTAGGGTGGAATTTGGGTCTGCTGAGAAGAGAAAGGGCCACTTATCCCTGTGAAAGGGTTAATATTCCTTATATTTCAATTTTATTTTAAATTATTGATTACTTGGAGCAAACAAGAATGCCAGGAGAACATGATTCAAATCCTTGTTCATAAATGATGAAACTAAGACCAAGAGACAGAAATGTGCCAAGGACAAGGAACAGGACATTGACATACAGATGTCACCAAGTTCTGCACCAAATTTACACTACTAGTTAGTGTTCTATCTTAGTATCTTTCTTAGTATCTTTTATCAATTTAATACTGTATTAAAAAGACAGCAGAATCTAAGGCTATAGTTTGTCTCCATTTTGAAATGCTGATCTCTGTTATAAACTGTTTTTACTTTCCAGGACCACAATAAAGCATCATCTTATCTTCAGTGGGTCAACCCACTAATACTATCAAGCCTGAATTACAGATGCTAATCCCACACAAATGTGCAGCCTACTGGGCAGTTGTTGTCGAGTTCCCTGCTCCTCGATGTCCAACATCCAGTGGTATTCTTGGCTTCCAATATTTGGAAAACGAAGATTTCATGTCACAATTGTATCCTGGTAATGGTTTAATGATGATAAAGTCAACTGTCATAGAAAAAAAGGGGGGAGGGCAAAGATAAAGATGTAAAATGTCACTGAGTTCAATGACATTTAAACAGTATATAAACCAGTTTTATGTAGAAAAAAAAATTCTTTAAAAATGTCACAAAGTTCCTAGAAAATAGACGTTAAATTGTTCTGTAGTAAACAATCTTAAACCATATTTTTTAAACCAAATTATTAATCTTCACCATTTTCATATACTCAACTCTAATAAACATTCCACCTGAACTTGATTATAAGAGCCTCTTGCCTTCTCAACACTGACCTCGCACTTTGCCTATGGTTTTCCTTGAATTCCTGCTCATGATGGGAAGTGTAAGGACCCCAGCACTCCGCCCACTCTCAGCAATGGTGGATGACAAGAGGCATGCTGTGCCTACATGTCCTGGGAAGGCATCACCTTGAACTACGTGTTCACTGAGATCCTCCTGAAAAACAAGGTACCAAGGACTGGATTATTGTATATTTTTTTCAATTTATAGGCCGAAGAACTCCCTTAAAGTTAACTAAGAGTCTATGGAGAAGGACTGCAAGAAAGAAACACAAACTTACATTCAAATAACTGACGGCTTCCTTGTAATGAATACTTCTTTTTTTTTTTTTTTTTTTTAGTACCAGGGATCTAACTCAGGACCTTGTGTCCGCCAGGAAGGCACCTAACGCCTTCTGAGCTATCTCCCAGGAAATAAATACATTTTTTAAAACTTATTTTATATATTAGTTTATCAATCATAATTCTGAGTTCCAATTCTAGTCTTACATTATGCATTAGATGAATTTAAAACATTGCCTGAAAATTCTAAGCACTTTACCCTGGAGGAATAAAATATTTTTACAGTGAACTTTAACATAAATTACATTCTCTTGACTGTGCCCACATGGATGGCATACAGGGCATAGTAACTTCATAGAAAATCAAATGCTTGCTTTGAGATCACAACTGTGTATTTTAGCAACCCAGTTTATGAATAAAACAGTATTTCCGAAAATGCTAACCAATCAAAAAGTTGGGATGTTCAAGAGATTTTATTAAAAGGTTAATACACAGCATAAATGTTTAATAAAAGCTTTATGTTGGCCAGGTGTGGTGGTACATGCCTGTAATCCCAGCATTCAGAGGCTGAGGCAAGAAGATTGATGAGACTTCTAATCCAGCCTGGGCTGCAAAGTGAGCACAAGGCCTGAACTATATAATGAGATCCTGTCTCAAAAAGACAAAAAAAA